CATCAGCCGATTGAAAAATGTTTCGTTTCCTTTTTCAAGGTTACAATGATGATACATGGGACCACTTGCGCGAAGGAGTGAAAGTTAATCGGAATCACAAGGGAAGTTGAATGAAAATTTCACAAACGAAATACATTGGCTACGACAGATTTCCTGAACAGGGGACCTTTGCCCCAATGAGCAAATGCAATTGCCACATCAGGAGACCAAATAACATTCAAGAAAGATGAACGTTTTCATCTTGATATCACTTGAGTACCCTGATAATGTGACCAACTATCAATGTCATACCTAAGTCTGACAGACAACGATGACTTCAGCTGTCAACGGTGAGACATTTGATTCCACGAAAATCATGACCAACTTGTGCATGGGGAACATTGAAATTTAAAAATAGTAGAAGAATAACCTGAGGTCAATATTGCTATGAGAATTATGATAAGGCAATCTTACATTGAATATCAAAGCAAGAAAGAACAGTAACATAAACATTAGGAACTAATGATATGGATGAGTTTATGGCGATCAAAATGCAGTTGTTCCTTGTGTGGGAGATTATTGTTGTTCTCCAAAGAGGACTTGATTTCAAAGATGTCCAACAGATCAAACACACCACTTTTCTTGCAAATGTGTGAACTTTTTAAATCAGTATCAATGTTAAATGAGTGTTTGGAGTTTGGGTATTGATATTCGTCGTCATCATTAGTATCTCTGAATTTTTCTACAAATTTCACATGTTCTTGTACTTTCGTATACATTCTTCCACCAGTCTGACCAATACATTGTTGATGGCAATTGGATTCTGAACAAAAGTATTCTATATTCACGTGACTCAGACGTGAGTCGTATTTTGTCTTAAATAGTATCGAAATTATACCATACTTCAGACACAATTTCTCAAGATTTCGTCGATACTGAAGACGAAATAACACCTACGTCCAAGGCATGTGGATATTGAATCTCGTGTTTGGAACCCAATTACCATGCACAATATGTTGTTCAGACTGGAAGATGGATTCATACAAGAGTAAATGAACATGTATAATTCATAGAATAATTTTGAGACACAATTATTGATGAAGATCCCAATACTTCGAATTCATTTGCTGACCACGTATTTTCCAGGATGGTATCTTGTTCAACCTGTTGGAATTTTTTGAGATCTACTCCACTTTGAAAAAAAAATTCCTTCATCTCAATGAACAAATCCTATTGCCGAAAACTCCAATACCTTGAGCTTTTGAGGTTTGTGTTATGGTTTCTTCTTGCTTTCGTCTCAAACGTAATATTTCATTTTCAGAATTCATATAGTTCAGTTATCCTCAGGTTGGTCATGATTTTCGTGGGACAAACTTTCCCTTGTAGTTGCATCAGATATGGATGAGGCATTGGCATTTGATCACGATGTCAAGATATTTTAGAAATGAAAACCTTTTTTCATTTTCGGATGTCTTTCGGCCTCTCAATATGGTGATTCCACTTGTTCATTGCGAAAGCTTCCTTTGCTGAGGTTTGTCAGTGTCTTAGATCCTTCTCGGTTGAAAGTTCCAAGGAGATCTTTAGCCTGCCGTAGTCCTAGAAGTCTTCTCCATTGTCTGGCTCTCCAGGCTCCTCTCGCCTTCTCAAATTCTGCTTGGAAATGGGAATTTTCAAGGCCGCAGAATGACTCTGGCCCGATCAGTGGCGTTGAAGCCCCCTGTCGTGCCAGAGTGTCTGCTTGTTCATCCTTCTCCACTCCAATATGCCCTGGCACCCAGAGGAAAATCACTTCATTGTTGCTGCCTAGCTCATTCAATTTGCTTGGGCATCCCCATACCAACCTCGACTTGATGTACGGAGAGCTCAACGCTTTGATGGCTCCTTGGCTATCGGATAAAATCGCGATGTCCTTCTTCCGGTATTTCCTGTCTAGGTTGAACTGGATGCATCTTCCTATGGCGTGAATTTCCGTTTGAAAAATGCTGGGGAATTGTCACATGAATTCGTTGTATTTGGCGCGAGGCCCGAAGACTTCTGTTCCACTTCCCTCGGATGTTTTAGACTCGTCCGTATACCAAGTAATGGTGTTTCTTCCCAGTGATTCGATGGGTTCTATGCTCCATTCGCGCTTGTTGCTCAGCCCCACTCGGAAGTTCTCCTAAAAACTGAACTTCCTGATGATTTGTGCGATCTCAGTAGGGGGTGAACCCCTTGCACTGTGCGTTTTTCCTCTTAGTCTGGCCTTGGCTAACCTGAGATGTGCTCCATAGGCTGTTCTCCTCACCACGATGTGTAGAGGTGTGAGATTCTGAATGACCTCTAGTGCTGCTGTTGGAGCTGATCTCATTGCTCCCGCTATGCAAAGACATGCAAATTTTTGCACCTTCTCTAATATTTTCCTTGTAGTGGCGAGTTCAGTTCTGCCGTGCCACACTACTGCTCCGTAGGTGATCATTGGTCTCACTAACATGGTGTACATCCATCGCAGTATTGATGGGTTACAACCCAAAGTTTTGCCTGCAAGGTTCCTGCACATCATCAGTGATGATCTTGCCTTACTGGCGATCTTTTCTACGTGTCTGTTCCAGAGAAGCTTTGAGTCTAGGATGAGCCCTAAATACTTCACTTCTTGCTACCATTCTAGGTCTGCTCCGTCTAGACGGACGATTCTTGAGTGCTGAACCTTCGTTCTCCTAGTAAAAGATACCAATGTGGTTTTCGTTGAGTTAATCCTCAACCCCACCGAATGACACTATCTTCTGATTGTCTCTAGCTCTCCCTCTCTCTATGAGGTCGCAGAGGGTCCCTTCAAATTTGCCTTTGGCCATGATGACTATGTCGTCCACATATCCAAAGCACATTTCTCCGTTCTCAGTGAGGATCACGAGTAGTTCGTCTACTACTAGACTCCACATCAAGAGTAACAGTACCCCTCCCCGTGGACAGCCCCTGTTCGTACTGATTTGAAAGCTGCTCTCGCTCACTTTCGTTTCAGCTGTTCTTGTGGTCAGCATTTGACACATTCATCTGGATGTAGTACTGTCCACTCCCTTGTTCATTAGGGCTCTCTTTATTGCTTTACGAGAGTTGTTGTCAAATGCCCCCTCTATGTCTAGAAATGCTCATATGGCAATTTCTTTGTGCTCAAGTGATCTCTGGATGTTTTTGGTGAGCACAAAAAGGGCGGTCTTGGTTGATCTGCCCGCCCTATATGCATGCTGTCCTGGGTGCAAAGGCACCCTCTCCAGTATCTCTTATCTGATGTAGTTATCTACGATCTTCTCCAGTGTCTTCAGTGAGAAGGATGTGAGACAGATCGGTCTGAATGACTTCGGAAGGTTACGGTACTTTTTCTCTACTTTGGGGATGAAAGTCACACTTGCTCTCGTCCAGCTGCTCGGTGTGTACCCGGACGCCAGACTGAGTTTGGCTGCCTTGATAATGAACGGCAGTAGTTCCTTATATCATTTTTGTAAAATGGCTGGTGGATGCCGTCAATTCCAGGGGACTTGAATGGTTGGATAGGATTCATTGCCCACTTCAACCTTGCCGGAGTGCAAATGGTTTTTGCAACATCCCAGTCTTCTCGTTTTGCTCTGCCTGATTCTTCCAGTATTCTTTCGGGATCATATGGTGTACTACCTGGGAAGTGCATCTCCAGTAAGAGGAGAACTCATTGCTCTTCATCTTCTGTATAGCTACCATCTGATCTTCTGAGAGACATTGGTCCTTGCTCCCTGCCCCAAGCCATGGCCTTGTACAGTCTGGCTGCAGGTGGAAGTGATTGTTTCACAAAAGTTCCTGAAGCTATTTCTCTTAGCTTTCCTCATTCCTTTGTTCTTAATTGTCATCTTTTCGATGTAACCCTGCCAGTCTCCGTCCCGATTGGCCTTGTTGAATAGCCGGCGAACCTCGGATCTTAGATTTGACAGGTGTTCGTTTCACCAAATGGTACCACTGTGTGATATCTTTTCTCTAATGGGGCAGCTGGATTCGTATGCATCCATGATTGCCCCATTAACTGCTTCTAATGTCTGCTCAAATTCGACGTAACTTTTGTCATTGAACTTGATTTGTTCTATATTACATTTAAGATTGGTGGTGTATTTTTCTCAGTTTGTGTTTGTAGGATTTCTAATGAAGGTGGTTTCTGCCACGAGCCCTTCTACATTGAACATCATGATTCTGTAGTCAGAGAGAAAGGGTTCTTCTTGTCTAGCCCTAGTTACAGAGGTAGGGGTAGACCCTACATTCAGTATACTTAAGTTAGCCGCGAGTATGAGTTCTAGCAATTGCTCACCTCTTTGGTTGGTGTCAGTACTTCCCCGTATGGTGTTATGGGCATTGGCATCGCAGCTCAGCAGGTGGGGAAGTTTGCTCTTGCTGCAGTAATCGGATAGTCTCTGTACCTCTTATGATGGTGCTTGCCCATCTCCAGCGGAGTATCCTGAAGCTATTACTATGTCGAGGTGTAAGTGCCCTGTGTGGATCTTGGCCCGTACAGGCACTAAGTCCCTCGTCATAAATTCTGAACAACAAACATAATTAATGCCATTCCTGATCAGTATGCAAGCTCTGGGGTTGTCAAACCTGACATCCCAGATAACCTTACCTTCTTTATTCGGCAGTCATCTAATCTTGTGTTGACCCAAGGTTCTTGGATCAACGCAACTCCCAAGTTTGCCCCGGTGAACACCCTCGATAAGGCGGCTGATGCCCTCTTAGCGTGGTGAGTATTCACCTAGGCAAACCTGACTGATGTGGTATCAGCCATTACTGCTAGTGAGTTGGAGTGCTTGCCTACCCATCATGCAGCAGCATAAGCTCTTCTTCGCTGGGAATGACCGTGGTATTCTGGTCCATACTCCCAGTCAATTCGGCTTCGCTGGTCACAGTAGTTTCTCTGGCAGTGGGAGCTGATGGTGTCTTCCCCCCCTCTTCTACCTCCTTCTTCTCACTCGAGTCCTTGCTTTCTAGTATTTTCCACAGCTGAATTCGAAGCCGCCTATTCTGTGTGCTCACTAGGGTGAGCAACTCCTCTGGTTCGGAGTGCGTACTCCTGGGAAAAAACACTGTGATGGTGTGCGCCCTTGGGATGTCGTCTCCCAGGTGCTCAGACTGAAGGCCTTTGCCCTCAGCCAGACCGCCGTTACTTGGTTGACGCAGTCTACCAAGAGCATACTGGAGCGGAAGTGAATTCCCCCGACTTGAAGTTTGCATTCCGCGCCCAGTATCATTTCCTGTACGATTGCGTCCTCTAGTGCTGTGAGCTGCTCAGCAATCAGCGTCTCCTCCAGGTAGTTTTTTGGGAGGACTGCTATTTTTATTGAGCTGACAACCTCATCATAGCTAGTGGCTTCCCCAGTTTGCTTAGCAGTGGCGGTGCTACTTCCTGCTTCAGTTTTCCTCCTCTTAGCATTCGGACGTTGAGGGGGCGTTAGTGTTTCAGGCTCCCTCTTCTCCGTTTGTTGAGGTTTGAGGTGGCAGCTCCTGGGGTTTCTTCCTCTCGACGGCTTTCCTTCTTGCTTCCTCAGGTGTCAAGCCCTATTCGAGGAAGCGAAAGTGCCATCTTACTCCTGCCCCGCTGAGGCCCCTTCACAGCGGATCGTCGATACCTCCGAGCTTGCCTGGAGATGGCAGCGGCATTTGTCTCCTCCGCTTCTTCGCAAAGGATTTTCTGGAGGAGCAACCTTTGTCAGATGCTTGCTCCGCTGGTTCTCCCTATTCCTTCTGTTTCTCCCTCTCTGTGTCCCGTGGTGAGCTTGGTGCTTAAGAGGTGCCAGGACGCGCCGCTTGTGCGTCCTGGGTTGTGGTGACATCCCGCACTATCTTTCCTTTATTTTTGTTTTTTTCTCTTAATTTTGGTCCCACAAATAGCTAGGGAACTGGTAGTCAACTACGCCGGAGCCCCGCACGGCGTGGAAAGTCTGGTACTCGAGGAAGTCGCCAGGTATCCTTGGGGCTCCGTTCGAGACGGTGCTCTCTCACCGCCATGCATTCATTGGCATGGATCGCATAACACCTCAGATTGAAGGGTTGCTCAGCGACACCTTATTGTTTATTCGGTGGTGGCCTGCAGCGTGCCTGTAGTTGTACAGTCTGCGCTGCAGGTCGTCCGGCTATCCGTCACCTTTCGACACTCCTGGTAGCCACCCCAGCCCCAAGCTCGTGAGGGGTTGAACCATGATGGCTAAAAACAAGCATTCATTCATCTTCATTATTTACTGAAAGAAAGAGATTGAGGGTGCAGAAGGTTTTTTAATTGACATGGCATTCTCCGGAAACTGCTCAACGGAAAATGATGAACAAGGGTACCGTTAAGAAGAGAGTTGAACGACCTTCAAAATAAAGTGCTATTTGACTCCCCTCAACATTTGAGATTCTGTGGGTAACATAAACGTTTCTAAAGGGCTGAAATTATCAATTTTGGGTGTCCGCTTCTGGAATAGAATTGATCGGTCTTCTCGATATTATTCATTGGAAGGCCAATATTGAGGTTGGGAAGTTTTCAAAATGTCACCCAGTATATATATAGGTATTGATGTCAAGTTCAGAGATGTCTAATTGGAATATTGATCCTTCAACTGAATACGTTATCGATTGGATACAATATTGGCGACGAGGATACACCATCTTTACAATTGAAGAAGAGATTCCCAACTGACCAACGTGCTCAAGAAACTACAGACGGTTTACAGGCAGCCGTCTATATCTGGCCTGATCTCTTCGAATTCAACAACAGAGGATCGACTGCAGCCATATGATGAAATGAATGAATCATTCGATCTGTACGTACAACGTCTTGAAAACTATCTCGAAATAAAGAAATTGAGCGATACTACAGATATAGAAGATCGGAAGTGCGTAAAGATTCTTATATCTTGTTTGAGTCCGAAGATTCATCAGATTCTTGCTAGTCAGACTGCGCCAAAGCTTTCAAGAGAGGAGAAATATGATGAACTCATTTCAGCTTCAGGATATTACTCGTGTCCTGAACTCATAATTTTTTGATACGCATACGAGGTTGAGGCGATAGCATCTCAAAATACGTAGCAGGCTTCAGGAAACTCACAACTGCAGTGGGGGCAGTGGCAACGTCGTCTGCCTATAAACACGATAATTTTTGGTTCCCTTATATATCTGGGAAAAATCGATTATACACACCGAAATTAAATAGTGTTTCTGCTAGTTAGTGAAGTTGAAGTCTGCTTATCTCACTGAGTAAGTTACGACACTCCTATCCAAAAACTAACTTGTTAAATAGACTTTTACGTGCTCAGAGATTGAGAATTCATTGTGGTTAAACCTTATCAGCCAAGTTTTTTGTTTTGTTTTTTGTTGCTGTACTCCCGATCCTCTGCAATAGTCAAACTATCAGTGTTGCCAGATTGAGAAATTCAGTCCAAGATATCTTACTCATATGAGGTCACTTGAATAATGATGGATGAGGATACAAAACAAATTCTGCAGAAGAAAATAGAACAGAATAATGAAATTCGTGACGACATACGATCAATAAGAACCGAAATTTCCCTCTTATTAGACAGAACCAAGAAACTAGAGGACCAAGTTGATGAACTCACCACCGAAAACAAAGAATTGAGGAAAAGTAATGAATATCTCTCAAGGAAGTTGAAAGATAATAACTTGATCATATTTGGAATCGAAGAAGAAGAAACACTCACACCTATTGATGCTATTCAAAGATTGGTGGAAGGCAATTTGAAAGTCTCTTTACGTGAATTTGATGTCAACAATACATTTCGTATAGGACAGAAGACTGCGAATAAAATTCGTCCTATCATTCTTCAATTAACAAGAAATATAAAGAAACAGGAGATATTGCAAAATGCAGCAAAGTTGAAAGGAACAGGTATATCTGTCAGTCACGATCTCACACCGACAGAAAGAGAAGAAAAGCAGGTCCTTTTTAAATATTATAAAGAGGCGAAGAATAAGAAATATGACACAACTCTCTTAAGAAATAAAGTCATAATAAATGGTGAAGTATATACAGCAGGAGATCTGAGTGAAGGTTTACATGAACGAGTGTCAGCGCCTGAAGTAAGAGAAAAAAGAAAGTTCAGCAGTCCAGACGAAACAGAAATAGAAGTTATAGAAAATTCACAGGAACAGCATTTAGAAAAAAGAAACCCTTATTCAACTAGAACACAAAACAGAATAACCCAATCAAACGATAGTGAGAAATCATTAATTATTCCATCCTATAAGAGACCAAAGAAGTAAATTAATTCGGTTATTTTGAAATCTCATTACATTCCTACTTAATTCTATTCATTTTAGAATCTAGCATAGATATTATTGATATTGTTATTGTAAGTTTTTTTTCTCTCTTAGATTAGGTATGTATTTATAAATCTGCCTGAAATGAATATTGTTGCACGATTTGAAAACAAAAAGTATATGTCCATTGGGCATGTGAATGTTAGATCCCTGAACACAGGTTTTGATGAATTTTCGCATTATGTTCATGATAGTGACTTACATATTTTAGGCATTAGTGAAACATGGCTTCTTCCAACAGACGAGAGTCGCCACTACAATATCCCTGGGTACGTGCTTGTACGCAGAGACAGGCAGGGACGGGGTGGAGGAGTGGCCTGTTATATTAAGCAAGAAGTACAATTTAAACTTTATAGGTATGATGCACGTGATCCTACCTTTGAAATGCTGTGTGTTACCTCTACCATCAAAAAGCAAAAAACATTATTCTGTATAATGTATAGGCCGCCAAATGATAACAATTTCCTGAATTACTTGGATACCTTTTTGTCTTCGGTTATCTCGTCATTTGATAATATAATCATAATGGGTGACATAAATATAAACCTAATGACTGAAAGTTATATGAAATCGAAATTGACACGCTCATTGGAAATATATGACTTGAAACAAATTGTTAATTCTCCCACCAGATTAAATATCTCTTCGGGTACTTCTAGCCTCATTGATTTGATAATATCAACATCAAAAACGGATTTAGTATTCACTTCATGCATCTGTATGGCTCAAGTAACGGACCATGACTTGGTCTTAGCAAAACTGAATTATCATGTTCCACAAAAAACTAGAAAAACTATTGTCTATAGAGATTATAATAAATTGAATTATGAGAAAATCATACAGGACTGTGCAAACTTACCTTGGAATGATGTTGAACATATACATAGTTTGGATGATAAAGTGATTTTTTTCAATTCGCTTATTATCAAAATTATTGAAAAGCATGCTCCCTTATGCAAAAAAGAATTTTATGAAAAACCTTACACACCATGGATCACAGATAACATTCGGTTGATGATGAAACTGAGGGACAGGGCAAAACAAAAATTAAAAAAAACCGTCAACCAAGGTAATCTAAATTATTATAAGGAACTTAAAAATTTTACAAATGACTCAATTAAAAGAAAAAAAGTGGCTTATTTCAACTTAATATCTAAACCATCGAATAAAAATAGTTTTTGGCAAAATGCTTCTAAATTGAACTTTCTGAAGCCGAAGAATTTCAATATTCCGAAACAGTTACAAGATGTAGACAAAATGAATGATATATTTTCAAATAATAATAATAATATCCTGGTTAATCGTAATAAATTCACAACTATGCACTATTATAATACTCACTTACATGAAAATGTTGATGATCTACTTACATTTAGGAGAATTACAAGCACAGAAGTCAAAGATATTATCAAGAACATTAAAACTTCTGCTGAGGGATGCGACGGTTTTTCTATCAAAATTATTGAAATCATCATACCATTTTGTGTGGAAGCTTTAACCCATATAATAAATATTTCTCTAGACCGCAACTGCTTCCCATCATTATGGAAACAGGCCAAAGTTAAACCAATTCCAAAAATCCCAAATCCGGAACATATCAGTGACCTGCGACCTATCAGCATTTTGCCAGTTCTTTCAAAGATAATAGAACGTCACGTAAATAATCAGATATCCGAATTTCTAGAGAATAACAAAATAAGTAACTTTCATCAATCAGGTTTCAAGAAACATCACAGTACAACTTCCGCTCTTGTTAATATAACAGACGATATCAAAAAAGGTATAGAGAATGGAGATGCGACTTGCTTGGTCCTGTTGGATTTCTCTAAGGCATTCGACACCATTGATCATGAGATACTTTTATCAAAACTTCACTATGTTGGGTTTTCGCAGGCGGGTGTCGAGTGGGTTGGAGATTATCTGGCAGGACGGTCGCAATACGTGTCTCTTGTTAATGACAATGGTTGTGTCTCCTCAGCGTGTCATTACATATCAAACGGTGTACCCCAAGGTTCTATATTGGGACCCATATCATTTTCTATATATGTTTCTGATATGGACAGGGATCTACAGTACTGTAAATTACACCAATATGCTGACGACTCGCAATTGTATTTGAATTTCAAACCTGAAAACTACATAGCAGCAATTCAAAGAATCAATTCTGACCTATCAGCAATCGAATGTTTCTCAAAAAATCATAGTCTCATCATAAACCCTACTAAATCTCAAGCAATGATATTTGCATCACGGGGTAATCGTAATAAAATGAAGAACAAGATCTTCGCGATAAGCATAAATCAGGAACCAATACATTTTACAGACTGCAGCAAAAATCTTGG